CAGTTGACAGAAGGTTCGTGGATTGTGATTTCTTACTACATTCTATTAGTATGGACCCTGATCTCAACCGTTTGATGTTTTTAACCTCGCCTGCAATACCATGAACTCCCTTAGAAATTGCAAAGGGGTTCAGCTTGAGAGGAGTCTTGTCAGTTGTCTCAATCACTAGAAATCGTGGCCAATATTCTATGGATTTTGAAGGACGTTGGTCATCATCAGTATCAAGTGGACGTTTTGTTTTTTTGGAGGGGGTTTCATAATCCATGTTGAGTTTTTTGTGTTTCATCATCCGAGCTCCCCACCCACCATGGAGTATCATAACGACAATGCTAAGAACAAGTGGATTTCCTACTTGCAGCACCAGGGATACAAGGATGACATACTCAAGCAGAAAAATCAAAAGTTAATTTTTCCACCAGATTTGCCCATGAGCCACCGCCTTCTGGGCATAGGACTCTAGGCAAATAACATACTTGAAATGCATATATTTGAGATACATTTATTTGAGAAACATACATTTGAAATTGAATTGAGTCAACATTTATAACTAACAGGGCCAAACCTCAAGTTGAACATAATTCCAAAAATATCATGTGTGCAAATACAATTATTAATGCACAGGGCTCGGCATGACCAGCCGATTGATAGGACCGGGCCCATCCTACCACCCGTCTAGGCGAAGTAAGGGTCAAAGTGGTATATTGGGCAAAGGAACGCTAATCCTGGAACCAGTGCCCTCAACCACCAGAATCCCGTCCTCCGCCGACACAGGGGCGCAACCCACGGCAAACAGGTTGCCCAATTCGGTCGCCTTGTACGACCAGCAATGGGGTGCTGTGGAAATATTCTACCCCGGTTCCACACGGGGGAAGAGCTATTAGCGTTACCCAGCACTCACCACGAGGAGGTTGCTCTTCACGAGTGCCAGGTGACGTAAGACAACCTGACGATCCCCTGCATGGGACGTCACACGTGGTCGGGACGTCACACGTGGTCGACCTGTCCAAGGGCGATCAGCAGTGGTACCCGTTTGCTGTAGACGCGTCTGTAAATCATAAACTGTCCGTCGACTACAACCCATCGTCCTTGCGACTTCAGCTATGGACGTTCACGTTGCACATTTGAAAGGCGTGGCATGACAAATGGCCCTAAAGACTTTTGTTTTCTTGTGTTTTTCTTTTTTTGTTAATGACTGCTAACACGTATGGCTGAAAACACGTGCGGTATTATGACCACGTGACCAGTTGCACGTGAAAAAACACTTTTGCCACTATAGTGCTGTGCACATGATTTTGATCGATTCACCTGCTCAAAAACGTGGCCATTACTGTTTAAATACACAAAAGGGCCTACAATGATAACTGGTCAAAATGTTAAAATTTTAGGATTGTGAAGTTTTTAATTTGGTTCAGTATAGTTTGATATATTTCGAAATTATTTCATTCAAGTATTCCATGCACAGGGCATGGCATGACCAGCCGATTGATAGAAACAGGCCAATTCTACCACCCGTCTAGGTGAAGTAAGGGTCAAAGTGGTGTGTTGGGCAAAGAAACACTGTTCCTGGCTCCAGTGCCCTCAACCACCAGAATCCCTTCCTCCACCGACACAGGGGCGCAACCCACGGCAAACAGGTTGCCCAATTCGGTCGCCTTTTACGACCAGCAATGGGGTGCTGTGGACACATTCTGCCCCAGTTCCACACGGGGGAACAGCTATTAGCGTTACCAAACACTCACCACATGGAGGTTGCTCTTCAGGGGTGCCCAAGAAATATCAGCCTGGCATTCAACAGACATGACAGATTGAGAAGTTGTGCGTGTCACAGCTGCTGAGTAAGTCACAGCTGTGGTGGGAGAGACAGAAGCCATGACCAAACGCTTAGCTTCTTGAAAGGTAATGTTTTTGTCATGTTTCAGCTTTACAATTTGAAGTTGAATTTTAAATTTAGGGTGGGACTTTGAGGCTGCCACATGGTCACCAGAGCAGTTTGCACAATAAGGGTTTTTCGTAAATCTAGTTTCCGTATTGTGGTCATCTTCACGACACTGATGACATATCTTGCAGGATTGAGCACAGTGCCTGAACTGCTGACATTTGTAACACCGAAGTGGGTTTGGAATGTATTGATCCACTTCGATGTTAAAATATCCTGCTTTGATACTTTTCACAATTGCCTTCAAAAAGTGCCTTAGAAATGGCAATAGGATTCAATTTCAAAGGTGTACCATCAATGGTGGAAACCACTAAAAATCTACCAGAAGAACACTTCAGGATGGTAGTGTTTTCATCCGAGGAATCTTCCAAAGAACGTTTGGTTGTTGTTTTTGGTGCCATTTTGAGTTTGTATATGGTTCACCATCCCAGCTCCCCACCCACCACGGAGTATCACAGGGACAATGCTATAAGCCAGTGGATCTCGAACTGGCAGCACTAAGGATACTGGAATGGTATACTCAAGCAGACGAATTAAGTAAAATTAATTAACCTCCCAGATTGGACCATGAGCCTCCGCCTTCTGGGCATGCGAGACATGTGAATGATTTGTCAATCAAAAAATCAAGTTTTGTTACATAAACAAGTGGTCAAGACCTAAAGTATAAAGGAAATTCGAATTCAAATTTTGTGCAAATACAAATAATGCACAGGGCTCGACATGACCTGCCGATTGAAAAGACCGGGCCCACCCTACCACCCGTCCAGGCGAAGTCAGGGTCGAAGTGGTGTATTGGTCAAAGGAACAGTATTCCTGGATCCAGTGCCCTCAATCACCAGACTATCGTCCTTCGCCGACAAAGGGACGCAACCAACGGCAAACGGGCTGCCCAATTTGGTCGCCTCATACGACCAGCAATTGGTTGCAGAGGACACATTCTACCCCGGGTGCACCCGAGGGAAGAGCGATTAGCATTACCCAGCACTCACCACGTGGAGGTTGCTCTTCATGAGTACCAAAAGTGACAGTAACGTAAACTAGTGAAACTTAATAATTCATTTCCACTTTGGATTCCTTTCAATGCTCTCTGAGATTACCTCTTTGATTGAGGCGAGCTGAGTTATGTCATCTAGTAGGATTTGTTGTTTGAATACATTATGTTATTACTTGACCAAAGTTTTATTGCTTTTAAACGAGGGCTGGTCCAAAAGTTCTAAGCCTGACTAATTTTCAACTATGGGACATAACAAAGTGAACTAGCCAATGTAGTACATTGCCTGAGTAGTTCATTGCAAGTGTATTTGGTCTGATGAGGCCTTTTGTATATTAGTGACAGCCAGTTGAACGTGATAGTGGTTCAAATCGACACAGAAATGGAAAAGAACGAGTACCGAGCAGTCATAAAGTTTTTGACTTTTGAGAAAAGTACTACCCAAGTAATTCATGACCGCATGTTTGTTTGTCTGTTTATTTGTTTATTGTTTAACGTGACTGACAGCAATATTCCAGTTATATGACGGCGGTTTGTAAATAATCTAGTCTGGACAAGACAATCCTGTGATCACAAGTGTATGAGGATAAGTTCCCCAGCAATTCCACTGTTAAACGTTGGGCAGCTATCTTCCACTTCTCCCGCACCAAGAAATCCAAATCTTCAAAATCAGCGAAGAAAATTTGGCCACTATATTCTGGGATGCAAAGGGTGTGATCCTTGTGACGATTACCAATGCCTGCTGATTTGCTTCATCGTCTGAGAGATTCCATCAAAGAAAAGCAGCGAGGAATTATTGTGGTATATTTAGGAGATAAACCTACCGTAGAGTAAATCTCTCTTATTTTAATTTGGAACCGGGCACTTTAATGAATAAATAAGGGGTTTCTACTCTACAGTGGGACTACATCAAATTACAAAACACAGTAGATTTATCTCAATTCTACCGTGACACTTTCTAACACTTTGAAAACGGTGCTCTCTTGCAATGCGTAACAACAGAAGGTCTGAAATCTTGGAACATTCCAAAAAGTGGTCACAGGTAGTTAAAAATATGTAACAAATATTACTAAGGTTTAACATTAAAATACCCATAGTCTTGAGTAGTTCTAAAAAAAGTGTTCAAAACACATATTTGTTTCAAAAAGAAGTTGACAAATAACCCTCCAAACTTAGTCCAAAGATAGATGTTTTAACTTCATCGCAACCTGTTGTGCACTGCTTGAACTCACCCAGTCATTTCTTGGAAATCGAATATGCCATTTCCATTGTAGAGGTGACAGGTTGTAGAAATAGTTTTTAAAATGCTAATCGAGTATATTCATGCGCACGTTTTTTGTATGAAAAGGTTTACTATATTTAAAAGGAGTTTCCGTTGCGAAAAGGACCCTCTTTTTAACCAATCAGAATCAAGCATTTGTCAATGTCATGGTAGAATTCTTCAATGTCATTTATATAGGCAAATCACTCAAAGTACTTTAGAATTAATTGGAAGATGTAGTTGTGGACAATATGTTTTCTAGTTACATGTATGACATGTAATTTTCTCATTTAACAATAAATACACACTCAAGGTAAAATAATAAAGTTTGTCACATTTTTATTTGCTGAATGTGTGCACAAGTTGCACTTGACCAGCAATTATATTGCATGTAATGTCTGATCTGAGTATTTGTTTCAGCCTGTAGAACAATGTTAGGTACCATACTGCACGAGTATGAAACAGTTTAATTATGTAGTCGTAAATATATGAGACTTGTCAGTTGTGCGGGGAAGCACATGCAATTATTTTACTTGTATCGAGAATTCCACTTAGGTGGTAGAGCTACGGAAATAATAAACATACAAGATTTGACAGTTCTGTTGGGAAGGACCTTCAATGCGTTCACAGAATGTAATGATATGGCATTATTGCAGACAAAATCAATCGACAGTACTGGATGTCCACGACAGCATGTGCAATACAAGACCTATAATGAGCAAACTTAATGAACGTACACTGTATCTGCAAGCAATAAGTCTGTCAAATAAATTTAACAATTCAATTATAATTACATGACAGCTGTGATGGTATTCCCTCTGAGTTAAGAGTATATAAGGGAGGTGCTGATCAAGTCCAACCATATGCACAAAGGCAACGCAAAGGAACGTCAGAGCACAAAGGAACGTCAGAACACAAGCAAAGGTAGGCTTGAATTTTTTACCCTGCTTCAAAATGTGAACTTTTAACATTCCTTCAAAGTATGTTCGTAATACAGCCAACGTTTATGCCTCCCTGGCGTTGAAATTTAGAATACCTAACTGTAATATATAACCTTATACAACTCAATCCTGGTGTCCCAGTCTGATGAATATTCCTTCAAAGTATTTTCGTAACCCAGCTTACATTTATTGCTGTGTCAATCAAGATGCTGCCACTTATGTAAAAGCCCAGGTTCGAGTGCCTGTGGATACAATGTGTGAAGCCCATTTCTGAAGCCCATTTCTGGTGTCCCCTGCCATGATATTGCTTGAATATTGCTAAGAGTGGCGTAAAATCCAACTCACTCACTCACTCACAACGTTACTTCTCTCTTGAATGTCCTTCCAATACGAATTTCAGTATTTTATTTATTATATTTTATTTATATAATTGTTTAGTTGAGCCTAAGTGAGGACCGATGGGAGATGAGAAGCACGAGCAATGCAGAAGACCTGACTAGATCGTTATGTTAATGGTCATGAAATGTATCTCTTGCAGACAATGACCGGACAAGTCCTCCTCCTTGTTCTTCTTCTTCTCATCCTTCCTCCAAATGCCTGTCGTAAATTTAGTAAGAACAATACTTTTGTTTGAAATTGTAATCACATTATTTCATCATTTTGCCATGAAGATGATCCATTTGTGAAGTAACCGGAGAGAGTGGTAAATGTGTTTATAAGGGTGGGTAAATTCCACGTGGGCCAAGAACTCGACGGTGTAAAAACGCGGCTCGCTCCTATCTCGTCCGAGTCCGAAACGAATCGTCCGACCCGGGCGCAAGAGATTTGGCGCTTTGACCATTACTGAACAATATCTTATCATCGTTATACCTCAGTCGTTAATTTTGCATTTGCCAGTTCGAGCAGAAATCCCGATTCATATGCATAAAGAAACAGAATTGCAATTGTGCAAACTGCGATGCCTATCTACTTTGTCTCAGTGTCCTGTCCCTACCTGTCACACAGATGTTATCAATGATGAAGTCCAGTTTATCCCAGACTGTCAATTGACATTCATTCTTAAATATTTTCTCCCCTTTGTTACAAAAAGTAAAATCCAATTGGCCAGGAATGGTGAGCTCAAAAGTAGACCTCTAAGACCTTTAAATTATTATATTTTTACAATTTCTATGTGAGTAAAATTCAACAAAATTTTAATGTATCATCATATAAAGTTGGCTCAGGGAATTGAATTCCTACGGGAAAATGCTTAAATGAACATATCCTCATTATGGTTAAACTAATTCTACTGTAGAAGTTTAACATTGAAAAATTCGATAGTAATTATCATTAACACGATTTGTAGCTCCACAAAGTGTCTGTAACCGTGTATACTCCGTGGCCGAGTTACACCTGCGATGGCCAAATGTTGGAAACCTAAACAAAGATGATACAGGAAATCATGGACACCCCATGAGCTCCTTTGATGGTGGGAGAATGTTAGATTATCCACCTGGTGTAGGTTCTTGCGGAGGAAGATATCCAATTTGGAGGAGAGGTAAATATGAACAATTGTATTTTGCATTCATATGTTGAAAAATCTGTTATCAGCCTAATCGGTCGTGACCTGCAATGTTTGCTTTATCCTTGTGATGGCAGTGTCAATTCGTCCTAGAAAATAGGTGTTTTAGTTGATTGTGACCCCTCCTTTTTTGGCCTGATAGTCAGCATCTGTGACAATGAAGCTGAAACTATACATACTTGTTCCCAACCAATTACAGCACCCGAATTCGAGTGTTCGAATCCGATTTTCAATAGGGCCGCAATGGCAGGTTCATTGAACAACCTCTATGTGGGAACTCATCAATTGTTTTCTGTCCATCGTGTTATGATAGCATAATCCCTTCGTTGTCACACCTACCTATGTTATCCCACTCATGTATGCCCTTGTTGTTACTGTTAATCCTCTACTGTTAATCCTCCACTTGCTATATATATTCTGCACTATGTCCCTCATTCAGTCTTGCTTGACAACGGTATAAGGATCTATACCGAAACGTCGCTTTTTACAGTATTAAAGAAGTTGTTATCCATAAAAATTGTGTCTATCTTGTCATCAATTGTTGTTCAAAATGTAATGATATTTGGTATATTTGTAGCTAGAAGTGGGGGTCGACATGTATTCCATGTTTTTCGATATTCTATATTTTTTACCTTGATTTTACCTTTGCTATTCTACCATTCTAACGTAGTGCATGGTCAAAATTTAGCCGTTTACTTTGAAAATATACTGATATTTGGCTTGAAGTGGGTCTCAAGACACATGTTCTATGTTTTGCAAAAGAATAAGTTTGGACCTTTATTTTACCTTCAAGTTTGAATTTTGACCATGCCCCTCTAATCTCTAAAAGTGCTTTTCTGGCACTATAAACAACATCCCCTCAGTACAACCACTTAACTAGTGACAACTGAATCTTCACATGCTTACTTCTGAATTTATTCTGGAGGTTTGATTTTCAATGTGGTCACCATATATTTCAAAGATATATGTCCACTGTTGTGAAACATTGTATAGCATATTCTCCTGAGAAGACATATAAGGGAGTTGAAACTTTGTGTAAAGTAAATTCTACTGTTGTAGATCATGTCCATTCCAACAATGTTTGTCAATACTACATTTGTTCATTCAGATTTATTATTTAGTTAATTGTTGTATATTTGGTAATACATTTTCCTTAGTATGTATGCATACACCATTCGAATAGCTATGCTGACATCATTATTTGTTGAGTGGCTATTAACTACATATCAAGCTATAGTGTACTGGTGCTATTCGTATAATTTCTTGCAGAGACAAGGACCGGAGTTTCAGTTGTATGTGTTCAAACCGAAACCAGCAACTGTTCCACCACATTCACAATTGACTCATTTATGTGTGGTAATGGGATTGAATGGTACAGTTTGGAGACCAATGTTACCGACAGTGTCTTCTGCTTTGGTAAGATCTGTTGTTCGCTTCTTGTTATTTGTTGTTTAAAGCCGCACTCAGCAATATTCGAGCTATATGACGGCAGTCAGTAAGTAATCGAGTCTGGGCCAGACTGGCCAGTGATTGGCATCATGAGCATCGTGCAACTGGAGGACACGACACGGCAAGCACATGTTTGTGCCCAATTATAACCAGGTATCCTCGCTGGTAAGTTGGGCGATATTGAAGGTTGTGCAATTGTGACTCTGGGTCTTAATTATGTACTTTGGGTATTTCTCCCAAATGAACTTGTCGTATACCTGAAATACTGTTCACAGTCTGGTAACGACCAATTCATTCGATCACCATAATGTAAATACAGTTCTAATCAATGTGTTCACAATAATTTGCGAGTGAGAGTTGCGTCCATTAGTCAGGATTCGTTTGCTGTCAGTTTGAATCCCACGCTCGTTGGCAAAACAAAGTGGTAATCTTAACGAGCTGTGTAACTTTGCTTTAGCTCCGACACAATGTTGACACGCCGTGACATAACTGACATATCGCTCAAACTGTAGTTCAACACATAGAGAAAGTTCACGAGTTTCGTAAAAATGGTATCTGACGAGAATGAGTGTGGTACTTTATGTATTACCCACGTTAGATATGTATTAAAGTGTAAATACAAAACAACTTTCGTTCGTTCACAGACCAAACTGAATCCGGTTGCAAAATTTGTCGGCTTGCAAGTCAGTGACAGCTTTGAACGAAGGGCAATATCACCATCGGATTAAGACAATACAACCGTGATCTCCTCACAGAGTTTAACGCTAAAGATCTATAGAGAATGTTAATGTTCACATTTGGGATGGTTTGGGCCACAAAATTAGAAGTCAGCCACGGAGTTGTCGAATAATTTGTATCGGAGCTGTTCATTTTTAGTGGTCCATGCATTTAGCAAAGGTACTAAAAGTCCCCATGGTCCCCAGTATGGTGGTCTACCTTCAGTTGCTGGCGATCGTAGTCCGTTTTTATCTTATATTGTTATCTATAGTGCTATTTTATTTTATAATTCCATACTAGTTATATATATCTTTCTGTGATAAATCTAGTTATGTTACTCTCCTTCGTTGGCAGGTTTTTATATAAGTTTCAATATATGTATTATGTTTAACTATTGATAGTCACGATATGACTGTAATATTGCCGATGTGACTTAAAATTTTAACTCACTCACCGGAGCATCAAACGTAATTCTAGATATCTGTCGCAATAGTTTAAACTGACTTCATTTCACCAGGCTTATCCTTTTATGATTAATCAAATCGAAAGTGGTCGGGTGCGTCACGCTCATAGGGACCCTCGATCTATCGATAGTACTGGTACATTACGAATGTATATAACTCGATTATATAATGTCTATAGTAGCTTTATGCATAACAAATGTAAAATGCCGAGCGAATTTGATGCGTGTGATTATCTTGTTTCGCTTAATACAGTGTTTAATTTGTAAGTATCTCTCGCTTTCATGAGTTTCCTTCAGTTCTGCCTCGAAGTTGTAATTTCTTTTGAAAAAGTGAATAACGTTTCGTGATTTTTCTAGGAATGAAAAAGGTAGTTCTGGTGTGACAGAGGTCACGGTTGTCTAATCAAAACGAATAAAACGAAGTCAGCATTGTACGACACACGTGTGACGTCCAGATTGAGTATCTCATCACCTTTATCTTCAGTCCTTGGGTAACAAAAACAATATCCCCTTAGAACTAGGATTTCGGTAATAAGTTCGGTCGCACTGCGATCGGAAAATGATCGCCTGACGCCATGATAGCGATCGAAAGACATGGGTTTTGAAGAGTAGCGTCATATTCATGGTGATATTAACGATTTGCTAATGTTTTTCAGCACCTAACTACTGTGGCAGTTCGCCATGTGCAAATGGAGGCACATGTGTAGCAGGCCGTGATGGTTTCACATGCCAATGTAAGGCAGGATTTACGGGTCCCACTTGTGATGGGGGTAAGTATTGCACGTCTTTTTCAATATTATCTCTTGATTGTCCTTAACTCAAACCGTTGGTGTAACAGGCTGGGTTGGATTCCTCACACTGGTACAAGTTGTTCAGCTTGACCTTAGTGCCTTTCGCCATCATTAAGTGGCGTAAAGTCTTACCCTCTCGCTCAAACAATTAGTAAGGAATAAATGAAGATTTAACCTTTTTCACTCAAATCACTTAATGTCGGGATAGAATAGTTTCGAAGCCTGCTTGTCATATGAGGCGAAAATATTAATCTCGGTGACTTTGTTGACTATGTTGACAATGTCATCGTGCCCTGACGGCGTGGAAGGTTGCAGACAATATCAGTCACTGGTTTTGTCTGACCCAGACTTGATTATGTCGAGTGAACCATGTGACAAATATTATAACGAAACGTAATATTTTGCGTGATTTCTAGGGTCAGTTTTCCCTTCTTGATAAAGTACACATGTACATTCAAGCTTGTTTCTTTGACCAAATAATCTGCAATAGTACGTGTACTGATATCAGTACAAGAACAGTTGCCCAAATTAGACAGGACTGATGAATACCTGCATATATTTGCAGATCCTTGTACCGTTTCTACAATGATACCACACATAGAGCTCAGAGGCCCAACAAACAACAAAACTTCTATGGTACTAGCTACATTTAAGGCTGGATGGTACGACTCCTACAATACCACAAGCATACTGACCCGACCTGTTACGGGCCCGGCATGTGGGTTCCCTTTTCCTCTGTGGGTCAAAGGTAGTTATATCAACTTTGATGTTATTATGTTACAAACACGTGTCCGCCTTCGTTCGTCTCTATGTGCTTTTGTTAGAATCCGTGTTAGAATTGGTACCCAGCAACCCAGCAACCCAGCTTCCCAAACGAAGCGACTTAATGGATCGCAAGGTAAAGCATGGTGGTACTTGTGCTCGTGGGTTTCACCGAAGCGGTAAACGTCTGAGACCTACATCACTTCGGGCTTTCCTCCCACATTAAGCTGACACGCCGTGATATGACTGGAATACTGTTAAAAAAAGGCGTTAAACCAGACTCACTCACTCACTCATGGTGGTACTTGATTGACAGCGCGTCAAAACATGGATCGTTGCTGTAAATATTATTCACTGGTTTGTCTGTAGATCATTTACAGGCCGCCGTCATATAGCTGAGTAATGCCTTATGACAACTGTGGCGGAATTGCCGTGACTCTGGCATTAAGAATGTAAACTTCATAATGTCTATATTTACCTTTGAGTCTGAATCAATTACTCCTGCCGCCCGTGGACCCGATGTAGAATGTGTCCTCAGTACGCCATTGCTGGTCGTTAAAGGTGACCGAACTGGACAACCTGTTTGCTGTGGATTGTGTCCCTGTGTCGGTGGAGGGCACTGGAGCCATGAACAGGTGTTCCTTTTGCCAAACACACCACTTGGACCCTTTCTTTACCTAGACGGGTCGTAGAATTGGCCCGATTCTATCAATCGGCTGGTATGTCAACCCTTGTGCCAGAAACACTTTTGTCATGAATTTAATAAATTAGGTTTTGTTTTGGGGATAATTATTGTTTGTTATTAATATTGATAATGAAATGCTTTCCAAGAGTCATATGCCAATAAGGGGGTGGCTCTGGTCCAGTCTGGTGATGTCAACCTCCGAATTCTATATGTCTCCAATTTTGTGTAATGGGCAGAACCAGCTGGACATTCATTTTGGTGGACAAATGTAGTTATTCGTGTTGTATTTGATGGAGTATACCACCCCTGTGTCACTGTTGTTGAAGACATTCGATAGTGGGCGGGGAGCAGGGATGCTGAGTATATTGCTTTCACCTTTCAACTATTTGCTTCACTTCGGAATGAAAAAAGAGAAGACTTGAAAATGACAGTTGAAAAGAAAGTATTTTTCAAAGCAATAATCCTTGGGCTCGTTTTCTGGTAACTGAGGCTTCTGATCCTCCATCAAGAAAACTCAATCCATTTGTAAAATCTAAAGCTGTTTCTGGAATTTGTGGTGCAGTCTTCGGTCTGGATCCCTACTTGTGGAGTGCACATTGAGACATTGTCACGCAAACTAGTGAAACTAATAAATCCAGTTTGAAACAGAAATTCCTCCTGCCAAAGCAGGAGATGAGTCAGGTATATATATCACCAAGTTATATATATTGCAGAATCCAGTGCCTTTAAGCCTGGCAGAAGTATTATTGGAACATCATTAAGCTTTTGTCATCTTAATGTTAACTTTAAGAACGAGACCTAACATTACAAAATATGTAATACGATTTTTTTTTTAAATGTTCTAGAGATTAGAGGCGACATGGCAATGATATGTGAATCCAGGCGAGGCGACGTCTGTTATGGCGCATACATGAATACACGGACCCAAACATGCAGTGGCGGTAGACGAGTATTCAGGTTGCCGATTCCGAGGAGCCCATTTTCCTACTGCTATGGTAAGCATACACATCCTATGAAACTTGTGTGCCGCAATCTGATTGTTGTTAAAATTTTAGACTTTGTACTGTGTATGAATAATTTTCTTGACTAGTATTATGCATTTTCTGTTAACAAATATATCAATCGTAGCGTTCGAGTTACTTTAATTTGTATTGCAACAAGACTAAGCCTGCAGACCTTGTTCTCAAGTAGCAATGCGTCTAACATCTTTACACTAGGTATTAATCGTTTGTGACGACAGGAAATTAGGGGGCACGGGTGGCCCAGTCGTCTAAGGCGCCGCGACTCGGTGTGCAGAGTTGCGTCCCTTGGGCCCGCACGAAATCTGATTGTGGGTTCGAATCCCGGTTCACTCCGATTATGTTCCATGTTTGACAGCACCATACCCGTGCTCGTTGGTTCCACCGAAGTGGTAAACGTCTGAGACCTGCATCACTTCGGGCTTTCCTCCCACATTAAGCTGTGATATAACTGGAATACGGTTAAAAGCGGTGTTAAACCGCACGCACTCACTCACGTCATGAAATTACGTCATACATTCTTAGGTTGTCAAATATAGTTGAGTCTTTACAACAATGTTCAACTTTAACAGCAAAGCCCATATTATACTTTCCACATTGATTTGAACGACAACATTGTGTTTTTAATTTTTGTTGTGCGACATTGTGACATCCTTAAATGTTGATGATGGTGATTGACACCTTTCCAGGCTCTGCTGCAAGGTTCAAACACATGTACAGCTCTCCCTCCCTCCTATCACATCGTACAGTTGGGGTTGAACCTTTTCAACCTATCTGTTCATCAATTGTAATATTCGCTAATTGCGATGTTTACTGTCCAACACTCACACTTCTCTAAAATGACATGTCCTTTGAATCCAATTGGCTGATTTGTTGCCATCGGTTCCCTTAACACCAATAACAAACGTGCGAAATGTTCAATTAAACATGCGTGCTGTAACACAAGCCATGTCTGCCGACACCCGGACATCTCCCGGTGGTGCTAGCTCTGAATTATGGATACAATTATAGTATTTTACTTTCATGAACGATGTACATTCGAACCCATCAACATATTATATAGCCACAAGTCGAGCAGTAGCCACATATCCATCCTTAATAGTTAAAATATTAATTACCATATCTTCGAATCTTACGCCGCAAATCATCAGCATTTGAATCGAATCACTGCATCTTGTAAATAAATGAGCTAGGACCATACTAACCGGTGATTGATATCATGAGCACTGCCCCGAGCCGTCGGAGGATAAACGCACACGATCTATGTACAGTAAGTGTTGTAGGGACCCGAGTCCCAGTGGGGTATCAACTCCTCAGCCCTCTGTAGAAATGTACTGTTATATTCCAGATGTAGACGCATGTGTCCTGCGTCCCTGTTTGAATAAAGGGACGTGTGTGCCGGAGGCAGACAGTTACACCTGCAAATGTAAACCAGACTTTTCGGGATCTCGATGTCAATCAGGTACCTATAGTCTTATTAGAAATCAGTTCATACATTGGGTATTGATAATAAAGTTGACCTGATAAACACATATCCGGATCATGGAATCAAGGGAATATGTTAATAGTATTGTCCCCAATAAACGTTCCCGTCAAGAAGGGAGGGTTTCTGTTTTTTATTTAACGCCGTACTCAGCAATATTCCAGCTATATGACGGCGGTCTGTAAGTAATCGAATCTTGACCAGACAAGCCAGTGATTGACCTCATGAGGATCCATCCATCCGGGGGGACCCACGTAATTGGGATACGAGGACATGTCAACGAGCATGTCCAGCCGATCCCGTTAGTTGCCTCTTACGACAAGGCATAGTCGCCTTTTACGCCAAGCATGGGTTGCTAAAGACCTGTTCTACCCCGGATCTTCACGGGTCAGAGGGTGACCTGATTAACGACATCCAGACTAATGCAGTTTCAATGATCACGCTTCTGCTTGTTGTGTTGTTTTATTGTGCCTCTGACTGTGGTCAACTCTTACATTATGAAAATTAAATATGACAACATGACGAACTATTTGAAATCATACTTGATTGTCTTGATGTCGCTGCAACAAAAACATCACTCTCTTTATCCGTCATCTTCCTGAGCCTTCAAAGTATCTTCTGCACAATGCACCGCCTCCGTGGTCTAGTGGTTCAGTAGTCGGGGGTTCTATCCCCTGCCGCATCATACCAAAAGACTTTAAAAGATGGTACTTGTTGTTACCCAGCCTGGCGCTCGGCATTAAGGGGCAAAAACAAGGACTAGTCAGCTCGGAATCACTATACTGTGTCTGTATTCATGTTAACCTGCGGCTTGGTATATCAGTTGGCTAGCACAATAATATCGGCATTAGTCTAGACTAGTCCGAGCAGCTATCACGCACACACGTGCATGCATGTCGCTGTATAAATGCAGTAATTAAACCCCATTTCATCTCACCTCAGAAAAAATCGCAATGAATATAACTGTCAAATATACGCGCCGGATCATCTTCACTTTGACCTTGATCCCGAGAGTCGCTTGGTTTCATTTACTTGTTTTTCGCCTTGCTTATTCTCTCCTACATGACGATGTACAGTAAAGTACGGTTATAACGAACTCAAAGGTACTACTAATTTTAGTTCGTTATAACCGTAGTTCGTTATAAGCATATATACAGCATAACTACAGCAAATAGTCGGGACCAAAAAAGTAAGTTCGTTATATCCGTCAATTTGTTATAAGCGTGTTCGTTATAACCGTAGTTTACTGTACTGAAATCTATTGTTCTATGTTGCAGTATGCAAACGAAATATACTGGACCTTCTCATCATAGAGGATGTTTCTACCTCTATCAGTCAAAGTGACTATGAGAAGATGAAGACCTTTGTGGTAGATACCATCAGTAACATAGACATAAATTCAACTAAAACTAACGTGGCTTTCATGGTTTTCTCGGGAAGAGCGGAAGTCGTGTTCCACTTGAATAAATACACCGACAAGGAAAGCGTCATGGCAGCCATCCGTTCCCAAACAAACACCGGCGGGAGTACCTTTCTTGGGCAGGCTATCAAACTAGCGATGTCTGAAGTCTTTGCAGAAAGCAATGGGGATCGATCTGACATTCCGAATATGGTTCTTCTCTTCACTGACGGGGAAAGTAGCGCTGATGAAGATGTGAGAAGCAGGATTGATGGGTTGAAAGCCAAGGCGGAAGTATTTGTGGTGACTGTCACCGCCCACGTGGACAACACTACCGTCGATGCCGTAGCTTCTTCCCCAGCTAACAGTCACATTTTCCACATCGATGCTCCCGAAACAGCGAGCAGCATCAAGAACGTCACCGCCGCCAGCGGGGCATGCACCTAATGACCTACGAAGATGATATTTAAAGAATTCTAACTTGTCTAATATCATCAGAAAATAAAGCAATGTTATTAAAGAACCATGTTAGTGTCATTTCTTTGTCGTGGTTGTTTAATATTTCCAAAATAACACATGTATGTAATGTAAAATGCAAAGAGAATGCATAATAAGAATCAATTCGAAAAACTGCTAGATCTTCAGCAATCTCATGATTTGACACTTATTCTAACCCAGAATCCCTTCGCTAAATATCTAGTGAGCTCAACACTCAAAAACTATTGAGTATGATTTCAGCTTTATTGGATATTTTTTTATCTCAACTCAACTGGATGTCTGGTATTCTCAACACTTTTGAAAACATTTGAAAGCTATTGAATATCTAGAACACTATCGAAAGGCAAGGAATCCCAACACTACTGAACATATAGACTAAGTGACTCGGTTAATTACAAGACAACACGGGATCGGGTGGTCAGGCGCGCTTACTTGGTTGATGCATGTCTTCGTATTCCAATGGCGTGGATCCATGCTCATGCTGTCGATCACTGGGTAGTATGGATTGTCTGGTCCAGACTCAGTAACTTACAGACCGCCGTCATAAAGCTGGCATATTGCTGAGTGCGGCGTTAAACAACACACAAATAAAACAAGACAACACAAATAAGCTGTTCACAGTCAATTAGATGACCGCCTCCGTGGTCTAGTGGTAGAGCGGAAGGTCCGGGGTTCGATCCCCGGCCGCGTCATACCAAAATACGTAAAAAGATGGTACTTGTTGTCTGACGCTCGACATTAAGGGGCTAAAACAAGGACTGGTCGGCTCGGAGTCAGTATACTGTGTCTGAGGGGGTATACATGTTAAACTGCGGCATGGTATCTCAGTTGGCTAGCACTATAAATCGTCATCAGTCCGGACTAGTACAACCAGCCACACACACACACACACACACACGTGCATGCACGTCGCTGTATAAGTGCAATAATCTTGGACGCGACGTTAAACCCCATTTCACCTCACTTCAACTCAATAAGGAGATAAACATACTGTTATGAAATTTGATGTCCCACTGTAGAGTAGATACAACTTATTTTATTTTAAATATCTATTTTGAAAATACAAAAACACGAGTTGCAGCTAAATAACAATGTTACTAAAGAAAGGAGCTGTGTAAATTAAAGCATCCCTAATATAATATGTTAGATTAAATAAAATATACCCAGTTCCGATACTAAAGTGAATAAAGATAGTAAAGTCAAACATCTCGATCAGGCAAGATAGAAAAGACATGGATGATGTTGGATACGTTAACTGAGTGTGAGGTTACACATGTATCGTATCGCTTGGGTTTGTGTTGAGTGACAATTTCATAATCTGGCTTATCAATATAGGGCATAAGACATCACCTGTGATGTCGAGTTACGAAAGAGTATAGGTATCATTACACAGCTTGTCGTGATGTCGAGTGACGAAAGAGTATAGGTATCATTACACAGCTTGTCGTGATGTCGAGTGACGACAGAGTATAGTATCATTACAGAGCTTGATGTGATGTCGAGTGACGACAGAGTATAGGTATCATTACACAGCTTGTCGTGATGTCGAGTGACGACAGAGTATAGGTATCATTACAGAGCTTGATGTGATGTCGAGTGACGACAGAGTATAGGTATCATTACAGAGCTTGATGTGATGTCGAGTGACGACAGAGTATAGGTATCATTACAGAGCTTGATGTGATGTCGAGTGACGACAGAGTATAGGTATCATTACAGAGCTTGATGTGATGTCGAGTGACGACGGAGTACAGGTATAATTACAGAGCTTGATGTGATGTCGAGTGACGACAGAGTATAGGTATCATTACAGAGCTTGATGTGATGTCGAGTGACGACAGAGTATAGGTATCATTACACAGCTTGTCGTGATGTCGAGTGACGACAGAGTATAGGTATAATTACACAGCTTGTTGTGATGTCGAGTGACGACAGAGTATAGTATCATTACAGAGCTTGATGTGATGTCGAGTGACGACGGAGTACAGGTATAATTACAGAGCTTGATGTGATGTCGAGTGACGACAGAGTATACTACGCCGACCCTGAGCGCCAACGTGGTCGGAGGGTCCAGGCCGACCCGCCTGTCGAGTTGCATGACGTTAACCCTTTTTGAAATTTTGGCCTCCATGCTTATTTTGGCAAGTCATGGCTTTACACAACGGAGCCCCTAAGGCCTGGAGAAAAAAGTGAAAAATCCAAAGTCTGAGCGCCAACGCGGTCGGAGGTTCAAGGCCGACGTTGAACATTTCACCTCATTTGACCTTAAAATATTGTGTCCACTGTTTCGAGGTTAGAGTTGAAATTGGTACGTGAACTGGTTAGTGATTTTACTTTCCCCCAGCGTGAGTGAGTGAGTGAGTTGGTTTTAACGCCGCTTTTAACACTATTCCAGTTATATCGCGGCGTGTCAGCTGAATGTGGGAGGAAAGCCCGAAGTGATGCAGGTCTCAGACGTTTACCACTTCGGTGAAACCCACGAGCACGGGTATGGTGCTGACAAACCTAGAAACATTCGAACCCAGAATCATAGGTTTCTGGCGTGCCCAAGGGACTTTCCCCCAGAACCCCTTACTGTCAATTACAGAACACAAGCTCAGTAATTCTGAAACTTCATTATCATCAAATTCATCTTTTATTTTTCTGCACATATCTCTATTGTCATTTCTTACTCTACAATATGCATGCAATGTGTATTTGTCACCAGGTAAACGTTATTTAAACATGAAAAGTGCTAAATTTTGTATAATTTATACATTCTTGATCATACCATAAACAACGTTTGAGTTGACCGACAGAGTTCTGTTCTGTAGACGACAAGATGGTGCACAGGTTTGTAGAGTACATGTTAGTTTATCCACAACAATATCTATATTTATGATTAACATTTCACGACACTGGTCCAAACTAAACTCAGTTAACAGCTGACTCAAGCGGTCATAAAATGTCTCTTTACGCTCCCTTCATGAATACCTGGGTATGCTACTATCCACGTCACAACTAGGTCCAGGTTCTGAGACCGGTGTCATTGGGGCAGCTGACAGTTACATTCAATAGAAAGACACCAGTGTCATCTCTTGTACGAACATTAAAGACAATAATATTAAAGAACAGATCAGTTAAGCACAATGTATAATCTACCATACTGACACCATTTTCTTTAAAACAAGTATATGATCCAAAGTTAGTTCCTGGGCAACTACCATTTAGCAATTGCACACTTAAAGTACCACAAACATTAATAAGATCTTCCCCCATAGACGTTCATAACATCATCTTTCTTCCGAGACCAAAGGAATCAGCTGAATATCGATGTTTTCGAAATTTATTGTTGTCATTTATAATATAATCCTGTAACTGGCCCATTCTGTCATTAAAGTCGGCAAGGAAGTATGACATCATGTAGGAAATTCAATAACAACCTCTGATAGGCACTGTTCTACGTGAAGATCCGGGTTAGAATAGGTCTTCAGCAACCTATGCTTGCCGTAAAAGGCGATTAACGGGATCGGGTGGTCAGGCTCTCTGACGTGATTGATGCATGTCATCGATCCCAGTTGCTTGGATCGATGCTCATGATGTCAATTACTGGATTGTCTGGTCCAGACTTGATTATTTACTGACCGCCATCATATAGCTGGAATATTGCCGAGTGCGCCGTTAAACAACAAACCAACAAACCAACAATACGTTATAAAATTGGGCTAGAGATCACCAGCAAGTTAGGCCACCATACCAGGGACCATTAGGACTTACGGTACATCTGCTTCCTGCATGGTACCCCAGCAGGATTTACACCATCCCTCTGGCTACTGGTGATTTTTATTTTTGTCTTAACATGTCTAACAAATATTCTTCGATTAAAATCCCGGAAAATGAAACATACTTAGAAGGAAGTGGGACTTACGCACCCTCTCTGGGGGACAATTTTTTTTACCCCCCCCCCCCCCCCCCCTTTTTTTATTTCGAAAAAAACTGTATTTCTGTATAAATTACCACCAAAGACAATAAATAGATCCTAATTTTGCACCCCCCCTTTTCAAAAAAGCTGTATCCGCCCATGCCCCCACACCCTCACCCAGTATCTCCATAGTGACACTAGTTAATATATGTTATGTCGTGCACTTATGTGATAACTTATAACATGGTTCGTGCTTGAAGCTCGTTATATGTTACCACGTGGCGACACGAAATGTAAACAGACACGTCAAAATATTATGTATGGATTTCTAGGTGTTACATTTTTGCTGGTACTGCCAGCTGTTGCTCTACGTAAGGAGCTCGATAGTTTAAAACTTTTTTGCATTAACACAATCTCATTAAATCAGATCTAAGTTCTCGCTGCCGCTAAATAAATATCTGAGGACACCCCATTACGGGTCACGTCAGAACGACATTTCGCAAACATTGACCGACCGATGAAATAACTGACAAGAAATTGACATTAGCCAATCAGAAGGCAGCTATCTCGACCTTTACGGCAATAGTTTCAAACTGGCGACTACGCTTCGAAACATATTTTGACGTATTCTCTATTACAAATTTAAAACTGGGCAAAACAACATTCTGGAATAGCTTATAGATGGCCTAGATTGTATGGGTATAATCATAAAACCCGTAACTGTCGTTCGGAATACCCTCTGTTAAATATTTCGTGGTTGCATGATTAGAAAACACATATGGACTGTCACTTTCAGGATCTGGTAAGCGACGCCCTGATTGGTGGAATGAAAGGTCGTGCTGACGTGACCCGTAATGGGATGTCCTCAGATCTTTATTTAGCGGCAGCGAGAACTTAGATCTGATTTCAATGAGATTTGCATTCACATTACCCTGTCATCCTACCCGGAACTCTCGCCCTGCTTAATGAGTCAAACAGAGGCAAATATCGAATGAAGTCACATGTCTCAAAAGACTTGTGAGCCATGTTTCCATGTGGATCAGGACCGAAGCCACAGAAACTCCAAAGAATCAAACTTTCCGAGCGTGGCCCACCATCAAACTGCTCTCCGCCGCCAGCGTCGC